CCCCAAAACCCCAAAACCCCAAAACCCCACTAGGTAGATAGTGTTTAAGATAAAGTAAACATCAAATTGAAAATATCTAAATAGCACTATTTCATTACTATTCCTCCTTAAATGGATCTATTTTAATCCAATCTGCAGGATAAGTGTATTAATCTATAATCATCTGTTTTTGCGGACTGTACTTTATCCCTTACATATCATAGTATTTTCTACTAAACTTTGGAAAAGGTGCCATTACTATCTTATCTTTATTTTTGGCAAGGTAAGCAGCCCACCAACTAAAGGTGCTGTTGGCTATAATGAAATGCTTGCATTTACTCATTAGAGTAAACTCTTTAATCGTATGATCCATGTATTAATCATCAGAGACTAGAGTAGCATTTAGTGCTGCCAACTCTGGATGCTAAAAAAAAGTGCCGACATAGTCAGTAAATACAAATATCTTTAAATCTCTATTTAGTCTCTGCTTCAATTGATCAATTGCTTCTAGATAATAATTCCAAGGAAGCCCTCGATATTTTTATTCAAGATCACCTCTTCGAATATGCAATGCAACACTTTCTGTTTGTAATATCTAATCCTCTAACTCCAAGTATAATGGATCTTTAAATCTATTAGAAAGCTAAAATTTGTTTTATTTGATTTCTTCAGAAACATTCAAAAAGAAATAATCAGATTCAAAATAATCTTATGCATAATGAAGCTGAGCAGTCATATTCCATTTATAGAAATTCCTATCCTTAATATACTCAGCATTTTTAGTGTAATATTAGAATTCGTATTTACTCAATACTCTTCCATAACTAATATTAAAGTAATCAAGAGCAATTATCCTTTCATCGGGACCAAATGTTCTGTTTTTTATTACATCAACTCTTGAATAGTCTGCAATCCAAATAGAAGCATTCATTATCTTGGCAAAATTGTAGCATGCAGCATAATAAAACATTTGATTCCCAAGACCCCATTAAACCCACATAATTATTACTTTTGAGTTAATTTTAGGAAGAGTGTTTGGATTGAATTACCTTAAGCTAGCAATTTCTTTTAGTCTGATATAATCTGAGGGCCCATAGCAATTTAGATTCTCTGGTGGGCATATCTCAAAAACATTTTAATTATGAGCCTAAGCTCTACCAAGGAAAAATGATGCTGTAACTATAGTTAAAATGAGTACAGTAGTGTATATGGATTTTATCATTTTTAAAAATGTTAAATTATTCTTTATTTTTTTCACTAAATGAATTACAACTAATATCTCTATAACTTACTATACAGCAACTCGGGGTTTTGGGGTTTTGGGGTTTTGGGG